GGATAAATAACTTTCCAGTTTATGCGTTACTTAACACTTGTTTATATATTTGAAAACCAAAATTTATTTTTATCCAATCCATAAACAGTTTATAAACCTATTTTCAATTTCACGTGCATACACTTGTGCATGTGAAATAAACTTTAAATTTTATATGACATCGATAGTATCAATTTATTGTTTTTCACTAAAATTTTGTGAAAAAATGGAAAAAATGTGATATAAACGCGATCTCCAAATCATTCATCATGTGATAAATATTCAATGAACCCTTTTTTTTTCAATATACATTATTAAAAAATCTTTTGAAGGAAACAATGAAATATCATCACGTGACTTGCTTTCTTTTAACAATGTAAATTTTTAGCGTAAATGGAAGAGTTGAAAGCGTGGTTTTTTGAACAATGGGAATAGAAATAAGCATTATTCACCCATTACTATCCTTACTATGTTTCAAATTATTTAGAGGGGATATTCTAATATGTGAAACAATGTTATCAAGTCCACGTGACAAATTTCGACACAATACATAATAAATTCATAATGCTGTAATGCTGTAATGATAAAAAAAATTTCATGGTCTTGTTCTTTTATGGCGTAATATTATAATAATTATAAGTATATACTTCTATATATAGAATAATTTCGTTGTTGTGATGGTCATTCACATCTACTAACCTTACAAACATTTTATCATAATGAATGAAAGATCTTTAATGATTACTCATACATCAGATATCCCGTTATAGAATAAAACGTTATAAAGATAATTTTTAATGGTTTTGATATATGTATATATTTTTTTAATAAATTTTTGAATAGTCTTTCTAATAACTTTTGATAGTTTGGTGTGAGACTCATACATGCAAACTCTAACCAGGTTTAACCAAGTATAACAAGAGTGCGTTGGGGAATAAATTGCCAATTAAATAGAACAAGTTCTTGATTTAGATTTAATATGGTCTATTCTTTATTTAATCGTCAAATATATAATTATATCAATTAATAATCAACATTATCAATATCATTTGAGAATGTTGTACGTAATGTATCTAATGCATGATTTTTTTTTTTTTTTATATATATTATTCAATTTTATAATTGATTTTTTTACGCGCTATTTTATAATTATAGTAATATGAAAATTCGAATCTTTTGAACAAGGATGGAAAAATTAATGATGCATCTATTTTTTACGGCGTATTCTACCCAAATTGTAAGTAAGGAATACGTGATAAACCTCCTGACTATCTTTAACATTGTTACAAAAAGAACGCCATCAGGTATATCCTTTCTATCTTATTACTTATTATTACCTTGTTACCCAACTTTTTTTACCTGATTTATTCTTTTCATACTTTACCTGCGTAAATTTTATTTTCATTTAATTCTCCAACGGAGAATTTGTTATTTTTCACACGTATGATACGCGCTGAGAAATTTTCGTGGTACGTGATGCGCGATACGTAATGAATGACATCATTTTATTACGTTTTCTGTTTAACCATTCAGGTTTTTGTACATTCCATTTATGACAACATAAATCGAATACCTATTGGTGCCCAATTTATTTTTTTCTATTGGCGTATTCTCAAAAGAAAAATGTTTAACAAAAGGACTCGGTTCTTTTATTGTTTGACATGCAATTTATGTATATTTTTACATGCATCTTTCAATTTATTCTTAATGTAGTTTAGTATCGAAAAGAAAACAGTACAGTACAGCATAGTACATGTACACTGTACAACTTTTGTTCATTTATTTTCTTTGAATAGATTTTGAAATATGTGCATTAATTACAATCCTAGTTATAGTGAAAGTTCAACATAGTGAATATTCAATAGTGAGTATTTCAATTTATTGAGCATTTCAATATAACGTGTATTTTCAATATATTGAAATATATTGAGTATTTCAATTTATATAACGTGTATTTCAATATATTGAGTATTTCAATATATCGAATTTCAATATATAATTTAATATATATATTGATTATTTCAATATATAATTTAATATATTGAGTATTTCAATATATAATTTAATATATTGAGTATTTCAATATATAATTTAATAATATATTTCAATATATAATTTAATAATATAATTTAATAATATATTGAGTATTTCAATATAGTAATGATTTCAATATAGTGAAGAATTTGAAATTATTAAATTTCAATTTGATATAGATACTCGATATAAACTATAGTAGGATTTTTTTTCTTATTCGAGGACTTTATTATAACGAGCGATTAATTATATTATTAACTATATAAAATCAATTTTATTAGTCATTCCACTTAACAGTTAAGTCTTTTAAATATATACGCATTAATATTTTCCATAACACTTTTTGCTATGATTTAAATTTAATGTGTAACACGAGTATAGAATAACAAAAGAAAAAAAACTTTTGAAACGGTGAAATGGTTCCTTGATCTACAAATTTCACTAAACGATAATAATAAAAAAAAAACAAACTCTAATGTAACTCAATAACAAAAAAAACCGGTTTTTATTTTGAGCTTTATTTATCCTTAAAGAGTAACACCAATTTATTCTAACTAAAATCTTTTTTTTTTTTCTTTGACTTTTTAGGGTTAGAACAAAAAAAAAAACTTCTCATTTACCCTAATAAGAAATAAGATTCAGTAATTGTTAAATTTAAGAACCGCGACCTTGTGTTTATGAAATTACGTTTAGTAGATCAGCATTTTTATTCCTGCATCATATCCTTCAAATGGGGAATTTCGAGAGTTAAAAAAAAAAAAAAAAAAGTATCATGTGTAAAAAATGCGCATGTTCAACTAAGGTTAACATTTTTTGTTGTAAACATTTTAGTCATTAAATATTTGTGTTATAAAAAAAGAAAAATTCGCTAATAATATTTATTATTATTATTATGATTATTATTATTATTATGATTACGATTATTATTATTATTTTAGGAAATAAATTGTCATCTCGTATAAATTTGTAACCTTATGGAAACCTTACGATTGAAACTGAAATTGTACAATATCATCAATTAGACCATATTTATATAATTGTTAATTGTTAAAAGGGTTATAAATAATTTTATGTTATTTAAAAAAAATGAATAACCTGATGTTTTTAAATAACATGTCGCAATGAGTTTGTTTTTGTAAATTTCAATGCGTTCGTTTTTTAAGTTCATATTATTGAACATAAATGTTAATAAATTGATAAGGATTTATTTATAAATACATTAAAAGAGAACAAATGTCGGTCGCACAATGAGATTCGATTGAAATTATTGAAATAATAATTGTTGACTTCCCTGTTATCTGAAATTAGTGTTCTAAAGTTCTAAAAAAATTTTGTTTGATTGAAGCTTAGAAGGTTTTTCGATAATAATTGCAATTTCTAATTAAAATTATTAAAATGTTCGGAATTATTCTATTTTTTTTACTAAAATACTGTATATTTTAAATTATATAATGTATTTTGGCGTATTTGTTTTTTTTTAAAAAAATAAAATAAAATAAAGATTGTTTATTATTTGGCAATCTTATATTTCAAAAAATAACATACTATACATTACTGCATTAAGCATTTATATTTATTACATCAAATATTTCAAATATTTGCGAATTGCTAGTTAAAGTACGATTTGTTGTAATCACAGGCTAATTACCATAAAATCTCAGAGTGCGTCTTTTTAGAACCATAACAACTTTACATAAGTATATTTAGAGAGGATGTCAAAAATTTAACCTGTTTATAGTTACATTTTACAAATTTATCCATCAATTTTTCTATACCGATACGTATTCTCACTCAGTTATAGTAATAGTCACATGATTGTAATACTATTGTACTATAATAATAGTTTGAGTGACTTTAACCTAGGTCAAAATTTATATTATATTCAACCTTAGTATATTCGATAATACAGCATATGAGTTTGTTATAATTATTTCACAACTACGTGAATGCAGAGATTAATGTAAATAGTTGCACATAATTTATTTATACAGCATATAGTTTATTGTAATATTCGTGGCCAGTCTTTATTGTTTTAATTTAGGTCTAGATTTAGGTCTAGATTCTTCTCGATCATACGAGCAAGGTCGGATTTTTTGAAATTATGCTTCAAAGACCTCAAAAGAGTCTAGAGCGATTTTTAAAAATTTTATAGGCTATCAAAAAGTCTCGCCTTTCCTTAATTTCACGTTGAAAAATTTTTTCAAATTAATGTTTGTTTGTTTACAACATTTATGCAAAGAAAAGATGAATTTAAAATAAGAAGATTCGAAAATGCATTCCTATAAGCGAGCATACACGCGTGCGATCTGCTGTATGCGCTAGCCATATTCCAAAAGAAGTTCACTTTTGTTTTTATAGTTTAAATGTGTATATATATACATAAAGTGATATTATTATTAAATGAAATTATTTAGACAAATAAATATGATAATGTAACAAACGAGATAGGGAATGTGTTATACTGTTAAGGAGATTTTTCGCACTTATCTACAGTAAATATAGATTACAGTACTTTATATTAAATATTGTATTGTACTGTAAATGGTATATCTCTATTTAGTATTTATTTATCACAATAAAGTGAAAATAGATTTCTGATAAAATTAGATTTTTATCACGGGACTTTGTAGCTACGTACGTACAGTACGTACGTACGTATGTGGTATGCGACATTATCTGTTATCTTTGTCAAGTAATAATTAGCCATTGTCGTTTTTATCACTTGCAAAAATTTCACGTACAGTACGCTTGACGATTATGTCTAATCCATGTCGATACAATTACGAATTAATATGATTTTGATTAATTATTGATAGATCTTTTTGTTTATTTCCAGCTTCGATATACTGTATAAAATGAAACGGAGAAACAAAAGAGTATTAAAACAAAGCATCAAATCTATGATTGAAAATATTTTTTTTCTTGTATAAATTATAAATAATTTGAACGAGTAAATTAAATACTAGACTTTTTTTACATTCGAAATTATGGCTCAAGAAAAACGTAATTCTAGTATCCTCCCTTTAAAAAAATGTTCGAAAACACGTACAATTCGATCTTTATCTACCTCAATGATTCCTCAAACCAAACCAACAGAGCAACTGTCCACTACTCACAATAATAAAATTGATAATGAAACTCAATTAACGCGAAAATTTTCTCTGTCTTCTCGAAAACCTCCGAAACCAACGGTGTCTACAATTTTATCTACAAATAATAATAATAAATCATCAAATATTGTTAGTAATAATGAAAATAAATCATCACTTGTTACTAAAAACAAATTATCTCCTATTGAAATTAAAAAGAAACAACTACCTCTTGAAACTAAAAAAACAACTTCTTCTTTAGAAACTAAAAAAACATTTCCTCCCTTAGAAATTAAAAAGAAACCTCCACCTTTAGAAATTAAAAAAAAATTACCATTTGTTGAAATTAAAAAGAAATCATCTCCTGTTGAAATTAAAAAGAATCCGTCACCTCTTGAAATTAAAAAGAAATCATCTTCTATTGAAATTAAAAAGAATCCGTCACCTCTTGAAATTAAAAAGAATCCGTCACCTTTTGAAATTAAAAAGAATCCATCACCTCTTGAAATTAAAAAAAATCCGTCACCTCTTGAAATTAAAAAGAAATCATCACCTATTGAGGCTAAAAAGAAATCATTGGAAAATTTAAAAAAGTCGACGGAACCACTTGTGATTAAGAAAACAACACCTTTATTAACAAAAAATAAACCAATATCATCCGTTGTTAAGAAAAAATCTATGCCTCAAATCAATAAATCACTATCGCTCAGAGAACGAGATGATATTGAAACTAAATATTTGACATCTGCTCGTGGACGATCTCGTGAACAAAAAGATATTAAATTTGGAAACAATGAAAAATACGATTGGAAAGATAATAATGATAAAATTGGTGATGAAAAAGAATATTCTGAGAAATTTCGTGATGAAGAGAAAGATGTAGATAGTGATATTAATGATAAAGAATTCCTCGATACTTTATTGTCGAAAGTCGATTTATCACATCCCATTACAGTTGAAATGATAACACAAGTATATTAAATTAAAATCAACTATATATATATATATATTTATTTATACATATATACAGTATATACATATATATATATTTTAACCGATTTTTTTTTTTTTTTTTTTTACGTATTGCCTTTATTTTTACAAATTAGGTTATAGAGCTTCAAATGCAAAATTCTTTGCTAAAGGAAGGAAATCAAGCACTTTGGCAAGAATATAAATGGCAATCAAATTTAGAGCGTGAATTAATTGAAGAACTTAACAAGTAAGTTTTTTTTTGAAATACGTATATATGTTAATACATTTTGCTACACTCAATAATTTCAATAATTGATAAAATATCTATGCTCTTTATTAGGATGGAAGCTACATTTGAAAAAGTTACATCGCCAAAGAAACAAATTGATAAAGCATTGGTATGAATGCTGGGATTAATTTAATTTTCATTGTTTTTTTTTAGTTTTGACACAATTTAATTACTTAAATAATATATATATTTATATACTACATTTTTTAGAATTCTCTTAAAACAAATCTTACTGATTCATCTCCTTCCATTATCTTGCAAAAAGACCAACAAGAATCAGAGGAAGATCTAGCGTTTCTTAGGGTCTCGAGTATTATCGAATCAATGAAAAATGATATCCTAATTCAATTAGAATATAATGTTGACAAAATTAACCTAGAAGAATAATTATGCTATTCATTCCTACTTTTATCATTTATTTGTTAGTTTCCTTTAGTTAAGATATAAAGTATTTCATATAAATAAATACCTTGTTTCAGATAGGTTTATAATTTTATCTGTATAAATGTAACTAGTTCGTAGAAAATCATATGCAATTTAAAAATATTTTCTCAAAAAACTATATAAAGTTTTGTGCTTTAGAAGCATCTTTGCGAAATTTTAATTCCGATATATATAAGATACTCCTACACAAAGTATATTGACTGTAAATTATTATCGCTAGCACAGGTTTTAACAGCTGCCCTACCTTGTTTAGAGCGTCGGGAATGCGATGAGTGTAACATGGGTTTGCGTAACAGATAAGGAGAGACGTACGTACGTACGTTGCGAATACAAAGTAAAAATTCCAATTATATTATATAATTGGAAACTTTACTTTGTATTCGCAACGTACGTACGTAGGAAGATGCTCTCCTTATCTGTTACGCAAACCCATGTTACACTCATCGCATTCCCGACGCTCTAAACAAGGTGGGGCGGCTAAGGTTAACAATTAGGTGGCCGGATTTTGTATTGCCGGTAATTTCTAAATTAAGGTTAGATTTTCATATTC